TTTATTACAACAGATGTACAGAACTGCAAAGGCTCTCCTGATCACTTCAGGGCCCCAGATGGGGCCTCCTTTATGAACACACAAATCCACCATGTCCTGCTTATGGGGTTTTCTTGCCACAAGGGGTAGAAAAAGAGACAGTGGAAGAAAGAGGTTTTCCTTTAAGTCAACCCTTACTTGTTTCAGGAGCCCTGGTGGGGTAGTGGTTAGGCATTGGCTGTGATCCGCACGGTAAGCAGTTGAACACCACCAGCAGCTATGTGGGAGAAAGACGGGTTTCTACTCCCGTAAGCAGGTACAGTCTTAGAAACCCACAGGGGTTCTCTGTGAGTTAGCATGGACTCGATGGCAGTGAGTTTGGAGTTTGGTTACTTGTTTCAGCATACAGTGAGTGAGTTTCTGTAATCCATTTTCCAAAATTCTTAGAGAACATATTTACAGGCTTCTAGTTGATTTCCTTAATGCTCATGTGGGACAGTTAGCATCTTAAACCTGCCCACGGCACCATCTTCTTGGCTGGTTTATTCTTCTAATTCTCATCAGTATTACTTTTTTCAAATTTGAGATTTTAAATTCTTGTTGACCAGCATATTATTTAGAAGTTTTTGAAGTAAGTTTTAATTTTGATTTGCTCTTTGACTACATCTTTCTGGGATGGTTTTCCATACCATTTCATATCTTGGGGTTTGTGAGAGTCCAGTGTCAACTACTTGGTTTTGAATGTTGTTCATGGGGTTTTGGTTTTGTTATATATATGTTCTGCTTGTTTTCATATGAAGGATCTGTGGACATTAAAAAAAAATACTGTTTTCTATGTAGATATTTTAACTTCTGTAATGTGATGTGGGGATGCTCTCCTCCAAGGTTAGGTTATGATTTTGAAAACAAGGCAGTAGTCATTTGCTCTGATCAAAGAGAAATATATTACTCTCCTGAGTGAGCAGTTCTGAGATCAGGGGTGAAGGATGATTTCCTGGGAGATGGCCTCATGTCAGAAAAAGTAAGTGTGGGTATGTAGGTGTTTCCTGTTCACAGTTGTTGCAGAATTTAAAAGAGATAGCAGTAGGGCTTATTCATTTCTGAGGCGATGGGGCATCAGTTTTGTCTGTAGTCAGCTACAGAAAGTTATAGGCTTGGGAAGGAACTGATGGATGCTCAGAGGCTGCTAGCACTAAATCAGAACATTAGTGAGGGAGTATCAGTTTCTTCCCTTTGGTTTCCACAGTAAGAATTAATTTTTTAGCTTCTGTTAGTGCTGTGGCATATTATTGAAGAACTGGGTTTTGTTTTTTGCCTGCTGCTTGTGCTCTCAGAAGCCATGATCCAGTATTCTTTCAAACAACTTAGGCTTTCCAGGAGATAGGTCTACTTGACAATCTCAATAAGGTTAAAAAGAAGACTGTTGGCTTAGCTCCACTTTTAGGAGCAAGTTACCAGTTGACTGGAAGAGTAAATAAATGACCAAAGACAAGACATGGCAGCATTGAGTAATAGTTGTCTACTTAGCTCTGCTAATTATGTTCAGCTCTGTTAATTACTTATTTCTCATTTAATTCTATTAATCACTCACTGAGTGTTTAATAACTGTGCCTAATTTGTACATGGAGCACTTAAGTAGGATTTTGAGAATGTGCAGTGACTTAAAGTTTATGGAAAAATAGAGTTAAAGATAATGGAATTTTCCCATGAATTTTTTTGAAGTCTCTCATACAAATAAGTCAAATTGCCTATTCTCAAAGATATGATCAGTTATAGAGTTGTGGGACAAGTAAGTAACAAGTATAAACAATTCATTTTGGAGAACAAAGGGGAAGAAACACATAGTTTGTCTTATAGGGGGATAATTAAGAGATTTTGAAAATAAAGCAACATTTAAATTGTTAGTATAATATTTATTTCTAAAAAGCTGCTGATTTTAAGAATTTATTGATTTAAAAACTGCTTTGTGTAATGAATGCTCACTTCAGGTGTAAAATGTTCCCCAGATCATAACTATTAATAAGAGTATCATAAAAATGGAGAATAATTTATAGTATGTTTTGATATATTATCTCATTTAATCTTCACAATAACTCAGTGTGGGTAAATTCTTACAGATTAAAAATCACAGTTTGCAGAAATGATTTAAGTACTGGTAGAGTCTTGAGTTCAGCTTTAATTTCTAATCCTGTCTTCAGTCAGTCAATATATAAAATGATTAAAACTTTTAGGGAGAGAATTTGTTTTCCCCATCTGTTTATTCTCCCAATTTATTGGAGTCAATTTTAACTTTTTTATTTGATGAAATACAATGGGGGTTTTGTTGTTGTTTTTGTTTTTTTGGTAAAACTAGTCATGTTAAATTTGTACTTAATTTTGACAAATCCTGACATGAGTTGATAAACACTTTAGACTAGGATCATTTCATGTACAAAGAGGCTATCAAAAGTTCATGGAAAAATTCAATTAAAAATTATATTCTCCTATAAACTTTTTGAAGTCCCTTCATATAATACATGGGTAAGCATTGGACTGCTAACCACTAGGTCATTGGTTCAAACTTACCAACTGCTCAGTTGGAAAAAGATGAGGCTTTGTGCTCCCATAAATATTTACAACTGTGGAAACCCCATATAGGGTCACTACAAGTTGAAATTGACTCAATGGCATTGGTTTTTGTTTAATCCCATGGTTCTCAACCTTCTTAATGCTTCGAACCTTTAATACAGTTCCTCATGTTGTGGTGACCCTCCAACCATAAAATTATTTTCGTTGCTACTTCATTACTGTAATTTTTGTGAATGTTATGAATTGGGCGACCCCTGTGAAAGGGTCTTTGAACCCCCAGATTGAGAACCACTGGTTTAATCCTACTTAGGTAAAAATGATCTCATTGCTTTTGAATTTCATTTAATATATTGGTGTAACCTTTAAGAAGAGCATAGTTGGGGGGTGGTTCAGTGATAGAATTCTCATCTTCATATTGGGAGATTTCTAGCTATCACCTGTCAGTAGAGACCTGGTGTTGCTATCTTGCTGAACAAGAACCGTTGGTGGACACTTTGAGCCCACCCAACTGCCCCAGGGGACAAAGGCCTGGTGGTCTGCTTTTGTAAAGATTACAACCAGGAAAATTATGGGACAGTCTTACTCTGTCACAGATCGGGTCACTGTGAATCAGAATCAACTCCATGGTACCTGTCAACATCAGCAACATGATACTGATTAGGTTTCAACTAGAGCTTCCAAGGCTCTGAGAAACTAGGAAGAAAGACCTGACAATCTATGCCCCCAAAATCAACTGAACATAAACCTCACACTCACTGCCATTGAGTCATTTCTGACTTAGTGACCTCACAGGAAAAGGTAGAAGTGCCCCAGTGATTTTCTGAGATTATAACTCTATATGGGAGTAGAAAGCCCCATCTTTTTCACACAGAGTGGCTGGTGGTTTTGAATTGCTAACTTTGGGGATTGTGCAGCCAGGGTACAGCCACAGTACCACCAGAGGTGCTCCCATTGTACAAGGGGTCACAAAAATGGAGGGTCAACTTGATGGCACCGAACAAAAATTTTTTCAAGATATTAGGGTTCATCAAATAATTTTGAAAACTTCTAAATTGGATCATCTTTTCTAAAATACTGAATGCTATTTCTCTTTAGGAACTCTAGTGGCAGCAGTGGTTAAGTGTTCAACTGCTAACCAAAAGGTCTGTGGTTTGAGCTTATCAGCCACTCACTCAGTCCATGGGAGAAAGATGTGACAGTCCGCCTCTATAAAGATTATAGCTTTGGAAACCTTGGGGACAGTTTTAGTCTGCCCTGTAGAGTCACTGTAAGTCAGAACTTACTCAAAGGCAATGGGTTTGGGTATGTCTCTTTAGTTGCTTATGTGTTTGTTTTTCTTTGTGTGTGTATGTGTGTGTGTGTTTGCATTTCTTAACAATTAATGTCCCTCACCTAGGCTAGGTGGCTTGGGTTTGTGAAATATAATTTGAATTTATGAAAATATAAAAGCATTTATTTAACACAAATTCAAAATACAATTTATTCATTAATACATCAACAAATTTGGTACTTATTCAAGAGTACCAAAATCTGTCACTGCCTTAGTGCTCACAGTGATTCTATAGGACAGCATAGAACTGCCCCAGAGGGTTTTGGAGGCTATAAGTCTTTACTAGAGCAGACAGCCCCATGTTTCTCCTGATTCAAGAGCGGTTTGCAATTATGCATTTGTAAGATGCTCTCCTAAGCTCTGTACCTTGGCTACTAAAATCAGGCCCTCTTGTTTCCCTTTATATCTTATGTATTTCTTATTAATTGGGTCTGTTTTGTCTCACAAACACATCTTATAGTGGGATAACAACTTTTTGACTGCATGGCTTGAGAAGATTAAGTGCAAGTATGTTTGAAAAGTCAACTGAGCTGAGCTGATCTTTTAGATATTGAAGACGATTGCTACCTAGTTGCTTTTTAAATCTGATGTTTATGTTTTTAGACTCAGTTATCAAAAATGGAGAAAATGAAACAGCTTCAGATCAACCCCCCCCCCCCCACCTTTGCAAGGGAAAACTTGTAAATTTAAATATACTTCTCACTGGCAACTGCACTTTTGGGAATTTTCTTATTGTTCACTCTTTCTTTCTGGGAGAATGAATTATGTGGCAGGATGGAAGATGTGAGTACAGAGGGGGTCATTGAGGATCCGGAACTGACAGCAGTGCTTACACTGGGGCCTTCTTTCTGATTGCTAGGTTGTAGTGATTCTAGACCTGCTACCAAGTGAAGGACCACTTTAGAGTGCTTGGTTTGGGTTTTTGTTTCTTTAGCAAGAGACCTGATATCATGAAAACATATTTGAATTTACTGTGAATCATTTCTCATAAGTGTATTTTGGCTTTAGTATATAAGTATTTGGCTGTGTTAATGTGGACCACGAGAACATTTTAATGGGAAAGATGAAGTAATGGTGAAAGAATATTAGAAAAAGGTTTGCATTTTTCTCATTGTGTTAACAGGCAAGCAGTGGTTAAAGGTTCCCTTCCCCATCCTTTTGCCTTGACGTTGTTTGAGGACACGCTGTACTGGACTGACTGGAATACACATTCCATTTTGGCTTGCAACAAATATACTGGCGAGAGTCTGCGTGAAATACATTCTAACATCTTCTCTCCCATGGATATACATGCGTTCAGCCAGCAGAGGCAGCCAAATGGTAAGTGATCTTGATTTTTAAATTGTATGTTGGAAGAGCTGTGTAGCACTCTGGTGTCTGGCTTTTAAGAGGGACAGGAGGAGGGAGGACAGATTCAAAATATAAATCCATTTAAACAACATCCTAAATCATTTACAGCTTGATAACTAGCACTGCAGACCCCTTCAACCTTAGTTTGCGGTGGGTAGTCTGTAGGTACAGATTAAAGACATGAAATTTTAAATTGAGGCAGCACAATGCAACGTGAAGCTTATCCACAAATGTATTTCCTCGTTTTGTTTGGTATGTGTTTAAGTCTGTGTTATGTGAATGTGTTTAAAGAAATAACAAATATTATTCTAAGAGACCTCTATTAATCTAGTTGGTGTATCCAAACACTTTAGCATGCTAAATAAACAATTTCCTTATACTTTGTGCACCCTTGAGCCTTTTTGCTTATTCAGACATTAGTTATTTATATTGACTTGTGCTGTGACTGCTGACAACATCAAACTAAGAGAGGACGGAGTATGAGAATGTTAAGTGTTTGGCACTTGTGTTTAAATAGATGTCTGGCATATGTCTGAATAGATTTCAAATTGTGTTCCATAGCCAAAAATGAAGGGCTTTTGGATTATATAGTCCTTTAGCTCTTTCCATTTATGGAGAGGTAGTCAAATATTGAATGTGTTACATTGTAATCTGGTGATCATGAACCTCTTAAAAATGTTTTAAAACATGTCTGTTACTCTTGTAGTGTAGAAGAAAGGTTGGTCACTTGTATGAATTTTGTGTTCTCCATTATTAGCCCTCAGGTACAGTGAGAAAAATTTCCATTTTTTTTGTTTGTTGTGGGAATGGCAGCACTGTTGAGCCATTATGTTTTACTAGTTTGAGACTTTTTTAGATATCTTCGACATTGCTTGCTTATTTTTCCATATTTCAGTCATCTTCATCTTATGTTGATTTTTTTTCCTATGGATATTGTTTTAATCCTACCCGTTCTCTCAGTTTCTACCATTCTGTAAGTTTATAAATTCAAACTTTGAGTCTTTTTTGCTTCTGTTTTTCTACTTTTAATTTATTTTGCTTGTCTCTTGATGTTAGTGTTTCCAAGACACGTCTCTCTAACACTCTTATAGGTTCATGTAACACTCGGTGTCTTCTATTACTTTTTGTTCCCCTTCTCTGTACTCCTCCAACACAGCTCCTTTAGTTGGCAAAAATCTTAGCTTCCAGTTGGATTATTCACCTAAATATCTCACGCAGTATGTAGCCTTAGTCTTTTATTCATATGGTTCTAGCACATTAGAAATGTCCTTGTATCTAGCTCCTTTCTACCCTTCAAGACTCCTGTCATTTCCTTCTCCATCCTCCAGGAAGCTTTCTATTTTATAATATATAACGGGGTTTTTTCCCATTGAACTTTATGTTCATTTATAGTTCATAATGAACACAATATGGAGCCCTGGTGGAACAGGGGGTTGACATTGGACTGCTAACCACAAGGTTGGTGTAAACCTTTCGGCTGTTTTATGAGTAAAAGATGAAGTTGTCTGCTCCTGTAAAGGGTTACCTTTCTCTGATACCTTACTGTTCGCAGCCCAGGCCTCACTGGGCATGGATGATAGAGACTAGATGAAAGTGAAAGGGGAAGGCTTGCATGGTGATCGTGCAAGGAGCAGGCGGGTACTAGAGTCACTAAGGCAAGCTCCTGAGAAAAGAGGATTTGCAGTTTTATACATGTACTCCAGGAAGTACGTTGTGAGGAGATTATGTAACAGATTTCCAAAGAATGGTCATGAATGCACATGATGCTTGACAGGAACTGGCTTATCAGACTTGTTTTCAAACTTGGTTCTAATTGGTCTGGTGATGTCTTTCCAGGGGCTTTTGGTTCTTTAACCAGTATTCTTTTGTTCTGGGGTGCCTACCTTTTCTGTGCATGTTTGGCAAGCAGGTCTGATCATAACCTATACTCACTTACTGTGGTGAGCTAATTTCCCGGGAGGAAAGGACCCAGGAGAGACAGGTTATCAGGAAAGAGTATAGGTGAGTTTTGGGTGACATATGAAGTATGTGTATTTCAGCACTTTGGGGCATCATCTTGTATCCTAAGGGTAGGCTCTTAAGCAAGTGGTGAAATGCAGTGAAAACAGGGCTCATCAGGTTGGGGAGTGGTCTCACTATGTGGGGTCTCCATGACTCAAAATGGACTCCCCGGCAGCGGGTTTGGTTTAATGTACAAAATAGCATTTAATTTGTTTTGCATGGGTTTCTAGTTTTATTCTGTGCTAACACTGATTTATGGACTAGATTTGGAAACTATTTTAGGACAGCATCCCTTGCTCCCACCCCCTTATGTATTCTTTTGGCTTCAAAATGTTAAGAGCGTTCTCATTGATTTTAATTCCCTTCCTTGTTAATGGTCTGGTAGTCAAGCATTTGGGTAATGTTTTGTAATAATTTTGTTATTTCACGCTGTGTGTGCTATGGTTGTTAACCTTTGTGTATCTAGTGTGAGGGCAGTCACTTGTAACCATTGATGTATTAATCCGTGTGGTTTATATTTGACAGCTACAAATCCATGTGGAATTGATAATGGTGGTTGTTCCCACTTGTGTTTGATGTCTCCAGTCAAGCCTTTTTATCAGTGTGCTTGCCCAACTGGGGTCAAACTCCTTGAGAATGGAAAAACCTGCAGAAATGGTAAGAAGGTGGTAGGCAAGAAGGAAAATTTACTATTGAAATTCTTTGTGTTTTGTTTTTCTATAACAAGCTCTGTAGTTAGAATGCTATGGGAGACTAATCTTAGTTTTCTCAAACATTTTAATGCCACCACTTGAATGCTGTATACAAACTTTTTAGTGTTTTAAGTAATATGCTATATTTTAACACTATTTCTTTCTTTCCTACTAAACCTCATGTCATTGGTTTCATAGTTAACGCTTATAAAAGTAATTTCACTTCTCATAAAGAATACTTTTGTAATAGTAGTTAGCTCTTATAAAGTACAAGGAAAAGTACAAAGAAAATGTTCGTTCAACTTTGGGCTATAAAAAAATCATGAGACGTGGATCTATTTTCTAAAAAATATTTGAGTGATATTTGTGAATTATCCTTTTAACAATAGACATCCTTCAGAAGAAAGAAAAAACAAAACCTGTGTTGTACTGCTTAAAGCAGCGCTTTCTTAAACAGCCGCACCTTGCTTCTTTTTTCTGTACTCTAGTACTTTTTAGAGGAGGGTATGTTGGGGAAATGTGGACACTTCAAGGGACAGGTTTGGGAGAACACCAGTTCCTGTCTGCCCTTTTTATTCGTAATATGAATGTTTTTCTTTATTCTTATCCTTATGCGCCACCATCTGGTTCACTACTACCAGCAAGACCTGGTAAGAAAATTGTTGTGATATTTAGCAGAATCTTCTATCTCTCAATCCGAAAAGCAGAAGGACACTATTTAGAAGTGTGCTAGAGAATTCCTAGCAAGAGGGTTAGGGAGTCAGAGAGATGGAATTGAGTCTGTGTACAGGATGTTTGTCATGACTTGGCATTGATAAATTAGCCTCATAGTCAAAGGTGAAATTGGCTGACTCTTGTCAGACTGTTTCCATGACAGACAATAATTTGGTTTCAATTTAAAACAAAATGCTTTTTGTAATGTTGCATTTTTGTTTTAAAATGTAGCCTGACTTTTAAACAAAGGATTTATTTTACTCCCATATAGCAGTGCAAATTCTTATATTAAATCAATGTTTTGAGTTTCAGATAAACATTTGGCATCTAGCAGCATCGAGTTGGCTATTTTGTGCTTAAATTAACAATTCCACTTTCTATGATGTCTTTGTAAAATTTTAAACTGGCTCCCTTTGAAGGTTAGCAGGGGAAGTGTATTATACAAAATTATTCCTTCTTGAAGCCTACTATGGCCTCTTGGGCTGTGTGTTCTCCAAGTTAGAGTTCATTTATAGCTAATGCTAGTATCAGAAAGCCATTGTTGAGAGGCTTCTCTCAGTTTTGTTCACAGTAATTCCAGATTGCTGCTTGAAGTGCATTTGGCAAAGATATCTTTTCCTTTTGAATTCATTTCTTTGGGTAGATATCTTCTCTTGTTCTTCTTGTTGTCAGTTGGCTTACTAGCTTTTATTAGCCCATTAGATGATTATTGTGCTCATTATTTACTAGAACATTAAAAATATAAACTATAGAGCTTGTGTTAGTCTGGGTAAATTAGGGAAACAAATCCACAGAAACTCATATGTATAAGAGAGAGTTTTATATTAAGGGTAAGTGTACATTAGGAAAGCATCCCAACCCAGTGCTGTTCAAGCCTATAAATCCAATATTAACCCATATGTCTGACACCAATCGACAAAGTCTTCCTCAGTCTCAAAAAGCACACGCAATGACGCCGACTGCAGGAGGAAAGCCAAATCAGTGAGCGTGTAAGCATCTCAGCACTGGCAGGGGTCTCCACGTGACTGCTCCAGCACCCAGGGCTCCATCAGGGTAGGTCCATGTGGCTTCTCCTCAGGGATGTCTCGCAGGAAATGAGCCGTGCCAGAAGCAGGGAACTGGCTAAGGCAGCTGCACCCTGGCCCAACCATCAGAGAGCAAGAGACCAGAGAACTAGAAAAGCAAGGCTTACTGAGCCATTTGTCTCTCTACCCTTCAATTAATCCCACATGTTTATCACTATCTCAGAGCTTAATATCCTTATTCTTAGCTATGTTTTTATTTAATCTTAATTTGAGTTTGAACCATTTTTATAAATGGTTATTTAGATTTTAAAGCTCAGTGGAATGAAAAGTTGAAAGTCTTTCTTTTCTAACAATAATAATATTACATTATTACATTTAAGTTATAACTTAAACCAAGGAGCCCTGGTAGTATAGTGGGCTGTGTAGTGAGCTGCTAACCATGAGGGCAGTGGTTCAAACTTAGTAGCTGCTCCATGGGAGCAAAATGATGCTGTCCACTCATAGAAAGATTTAATCTTAGGAACCCACTGGGGCAGTCCTAATCTGCTGTATAAGATTGCTATTAGTCAGAATCAACTCAAGAACAGTGAGTTTAGTTTTGGTTCATTACTTAAACCTGTTATTGAATTGATTCTGATTCGAATAGAACTGTGCTCCACAGGGCTGTCAGTGACTGTTTTTCTTTTTGGAATTAGATTCTCAGGCCTTTTCCCTGAACTGTCTGGGTAGATTTGAACCTGGAACCTTTCATTTAGCTCCAGGGACTCCAACCAATATTTGTTAAGCACTTATTTTATGGAGCCTTGATGGCCTAATAGTAGGCACTCAGCTCCTAACCTAAAGGTTGGCAGTTTGAACTGCCCCAGTGATTGTGCAGATGAAAACCCTACGGGCTAGTTCTACTCTGCTACATAAGTTTGCTATGAGTGGAAATCAACTCAGTGATACTTAATAATTTGATGGGTACCTTCCCAAGTTTTATGTTTATTGTCTGTAGTTCTCATAGTAATCCTTTTAGGTGTAAATGATCGATAAGATTTAGAGAGATTAAGTGTTTGAAACCAATTCTGTCAGATCCCCAACTTACTCTCGTATTATGTTTACTTTGTCCTTCTCTCCACTAATGCCATTTTCTTTTCCATAGCTTTTCCATTCTTAATTTTGTCACATAATGTCCTAGACTTATTTTTTAAATAATAGCTTGTCATAAATTTAACCTGCTCTTAACTGTGTACAATTCAGTTGGTTTTTGTGAACTTTTAGAACTATTCAACCATTGCAATCAGTTTTAGAACATTTTCAATATTTAAAAAATATCCTTATCCTGTATTTCTTTACCTCTGTAAACATTTTTAACAAATAAAAATATCTTATGTCTCCTTTTCCTTGTAATACTTAGCTGCTTAGCTTCATAGTTATTACTTAGCTGTTATTCATTCCACCTTTAAATAGCTGTTTAATTCTAGGGGCTGTGCAGTTAATGAAACCTGAAAGTAGATCAATACATGATTTGAAGAGCACTGCCATTATGAATCTTGATCTTGTAGTAGACTCTTCCTATTTAGCTGTTTTAGTTTACCACCTTAAATTGGCCTAGTCTCCTTTTATACTTACCTATGTTCCAAATCCTAAAGAAGTTTTGCAGTTTTTATTTAGAGTGGCTAAATTTTGCTTGTTGGTTTCCGATGATTTCTTCTTCATTTCACTCAATTGCTCTAGGTGCCACTGAATTATTGCTTTTAGCTCGAAGGACAGACTTGAGACGTATTTCTTTGGATACACCAGATTTTACAGACATCGTTCTGCAGTTAGAAGACATCCGTCATGCTATTGCCATAGATTATGATCCTGTGGAAGGCTATATCTATTGGACTGATGATGAAGTGAGAGCCATACGCCGCACATTCTTAGATGGATCAGGCAGTCAGTTTGTGGTCACTGCCCAGATTGCACATCCTGATGGTATTGCTGTTGACTGGGTTGCACGAAATCTTTATTGGACAGACACTGGCACTGATCGGATAGAAGTGACAAGGCTCAATGGAACCATGAGGAAGATCTTGATTTCAGAAGACCTAGAGGAACCTCGGGCTATTGTATTAGATCCTGTGATTGGGTAAGAAACTCTACAGCGGTGTAATGTGTCTGTTTTCTGTAGGTCCCTAAAAATCATTCACAGAGACCACCTGAGTATGTGTAGGTTACCACTAAGCAGTCCTTTAATGGCTATGAGTGGCTACAATAAAACCTCAAGTTAAAGAATTGCTGGGATAGTCCCTTGAGTGTTTTGAATTATTTCCCTCCCCTCAAAATTAAATCCTTGGATGCTGATTCTTGTGTTGGCTGCAAACTGTTGAGGTTGCCTCATGACTTAGAAAAAGTTAAAATTATTTTCAGAACTCTGTCACTCCCCCTAAAAGATTCATTGTATCGTATTTTCAGTACATCTAAATGATATGCTAAAGAATGAATTTTGCTTTACATTTTCTCAAATACAAGAATAACACTTTTCCCTTAGAGGTAAATTCAGTTGAAAATACGTAATATCTAGAAGGCCTAGAGAAAATGCGTTCACAAATAGCTTAGACGAATATGATGGGCTTATTACTTAGTGTGGAAATGATTTCTAAAACTTGACTCCTAAAGAGCTCTGCTTCTTTACTTACGGTCTTTTGGTGCATACCATCCTTATCACAGCCCAAGGAAATGCTGCTTTCCACATACTCACCAACGTTACTCATTATTCAGAGATTTAGTCAGGGGACCAATAGGGTGACTACTTGTTACACTTTGACATATACCAATGCCTTGGAACCACTTAAATACCTGGGGCCCACAAATATTTCTTAGCATTGCTGGAAGAATTATTTGGGAATTCAGTTGGTGCTCTGAATATTACTAAACCCAATACCTTCGAGCCTGTTCCTACTCATAGTGACCCTATGTAGGGTTCTGTGAGAGTAGACAGCCTTATCTTTCTCCTGGAGAGCCAGTATGATAAAAGGTGTGTCTCTCTCCTTTAATCTAACTTTAATCGGTTTTTAGCTCATTTTCTGTATACTTCTGTAGGTATATGTATTGGACTGACTGGGGAGAAATCCCGAAAATTGAACGAGCAGCTATGGATGGTTCTGACCGAGTTGTGTTGGTCAACACCTCACTTGGTTGGCCAAATGGTTTAGCCTTGGATTATGATGAGCACAAGATATACTGGGGAGATGCCAAAACAGATAAAATTGAGGTTTGTTTTTTAACTTTTTATTTGTAAACCAATTTTATAGTGATTCTTCAGTTGATAGTTATTTTTACAGTTCTGCCTGGGTGCAAGAGATAACTTACAGAAGTGTTGCTCAAGCTTCAGGATTCTAGGGACAGTGTATTCTCCCCCACCTATTCCCATGAATTTTAAGTTATGTTGGCCTGAGAAGGAAATGCTTATCTGTTTCTGGTCTTTAAAGCTTATGTGAATGATTGCCTGCATTATTGGTTACCAACCAAATAGTAGATCTGTGTTAGAAGAGCTGGCATTCTTCAGAGGAAAAGAAAATTCAGACACATAGATAGCCTTGCTCTTGTTATTGGTTGTGGGATATTATTTAATATTAAGATGATTACATGAAAATAACTTTTAAATTGATTTGAGGGCTGTTGTCAAGAAAGATTTAAATGTTTACCAAATTAAAAAATGATGTTTTTGACAGACAGTAGAAATATGGCGAAAACAACCAGTGGTGTATATTTTATCACAATGGCTTCTACCCAGAATATGTCCTTGCTAATGAATGAGAATATAAAATCCACAGCTTTGAAGGAGACCTGTGCTAGAAGCCCTCGAGATTGCATACTTGAAACAGTGTGGGTTGCAGTTTTCCTTTGGGAGATGACTTCTAGTGTAAGAAATGGCTTTGAGTAGCTCTTCAAAGAGTAACACACCATCTAATGGACAAGTAATCTGGACTCCACAGCAGTTATTTTAGAAAGGTAATTCAGAGGAGTGTCCTGAATGCTGAGGGAATAATGAATTAAAGGCTGTGCTTCCAGAGTGGAAAGTTGGAATAGAAGAAATCCATTAGTATTCCACCAGGCACAAACTCAGAAAACTCCATCTCTCTCTCTTTTTTTAAACTCCATTTCTTATTCTTGCAGCTGGTTTCCATTAGTAGAAGTTTTGTGTCGACCTGACTATATAAATTTTCTCCTTGTTAGTGCTTCACTGCCTTAAAAAAAAAGAAAGAAAGAAATCCAAGTTAGTATTTGTATCTGTAACAGCTGGAGTACAGTGCTAATGAGACAAAGGTTAAAGGTTCATATTTCAGCCAGGCTGTTAGCTTCACTTGGGTCTGCTTGAACATAATTGGGTATTGTTCATGGGCCCTAGGTCATCCACTAGTGTAGTGTGAAGGCATTGCTACTTTTAGAAAAAGTTTCAAGTTTATGTGTCTTGATAAAATAAAACAATGCCTCTGGCAAAATAATTTACATAAGATAAGTTTTTGTTATTATGTAGGGATTTTAAGAATTCTATATTTGAATTTGTCTTTTAGCTTACTATGGTTGATTGGCCTGAGAATAAAATCCTTTATTTCTTACTGGGAAGTGTTTCAAGTTTTACTTTTCCTTGTTTCAGGTTACTTTTTAACACTTTAGGTATAGAAATTTATTCAAAATCACATCATTTCAGGAAGGATACAGATTTTTAAAAACAAGAATTTGTTGAGATTCTGAGGGACACTATAAAACAAACAAGCAGGACAATCTATTATTGATTAAACATGATTGGTAAAGTAGGGGGCCAGTGAAAAAGAGGAAGGTCCTCAATGAGATGGGATGACACCCTGGGTACAACAGTGGGCTCAAGCACAGAAGAACAGTGGTGAGGATGGCACAGGGAGGACTGGGCAGTGTTTCCTTCTGTTGTACACATGGCTGATATGGATTGGAACCCATTCGATGGCATCTAACAACAACAAACACGATTTAATTTCTTAGTTATCAGCATGAACACAGAAGACCTTGAAAACGATTCCTTCTTGAAGCTATATATGTGTATCATTTGTTCATATTTATCCTTCCTTCCCTCCTCTCTCCCTAAGTAGAATCAGTATTCTTAAGCTAATCTTTAATATCTATTTCTCTCTGCTTCAGGTTTGCTGGTGACAATTGCTGCCTGTTCTTGGTTCTCTATTTGACAGATTATTTGTTGGTTGTGGTGTGAAGCAGGGCCAGAGTTCTAATTAATGCTAAATCTATTTCAACCACTTTCACATTCATTATGCTGCTGTTCGTGCACAGTAAGAAAACAGGAGAGAAGGGTGTGTGAATCAGAGTCACCTCAGCATGTTTCAGACTCTACAGATTCTGTGTGATTTCCTGGCTGGGGATCAATTGTTTTGTCATTTTCTTTCCATAAGGATCCATCTAGGAAGTAAAGAGGCAGGGTATTGTTATTTATTTCCTTCTTACTGTGATGGTGTGTACAATTACCAGGATATAGGAAACTAAGGAAAGAGCATAGTTCTTCATCTAAATTAATCTTGTTTTGTGGGAGGAAATTATTAGTCTCCCTTTCCGGGACTAACGGTGAGGAGCGTCCGCCATTGCCTTTTCTCCTTACTGTAACTTGATAGTTGCTGTTAGGGGCGAGTCAGTTCTGGCTCAGCGTGGCCCAGTCCAGCAGACCGAACACTGCATGGTTCTGTGCTGTCCTCACAGTTGGGTTGAGCCCTTATTACAGCCGCTGTGTCAATCCATCTTGTTGAGGATTTTGATAGTAAGTTGATAATATTGAACTTGACAACTTCTGGAATGACAAATGATTTTTTAAGTGCTTATATTTCCATGAGAATGATATGTTAGTCTCGTGTAGCAGCCGGTCACAGCTGATCGGACCCTAGTGTGTCATGTGTGCCCTTCTAGTCTCATCCTCTTAGGAAAGTGTCCCTGCTTTTGTCATGTCCGTGAGTGAAAGTTACTTTTTTTAGGAATTATAAGGAAATATCTAGTTATGATAGTTCTGTCCTCTGAAAGACTTGGAGTTCATTTGATATCAAGCTCTTTTGTATGTTTATAGTAATTTTGGGAAGTGACCCTCCCCTCTTCCCACCAAACTTGTGCCATTTAATTGATTCCAACTCATGACTTCACAGTAGAACAGAGTGAAAAATCTATGAGGTTTCCTAGGCTGTAACCTGTATAGGAGTCTGCTTCATCTTTCTGCTGAACAGTAGGTTGTTTGTTCAAACCACCAATCTTTCAGTTAGTAGCTGAATGTTTAACCGCTGCACTAACAGGGAAGAAAAGATAATTATGGGGTAAGCGACTTTGTAACATTACAATTCATAACTCTTGTATTTTGAGTGGATCTGATGGGATGATGAGCTTAACTGATGATTTCTTAGGTCAGCTTTCCACTTGTTCTTTCTGTAAGTGGTCAGTGATGTACCCAAATTTTGGCAATATTGGTGGGCTTCAAGGAGTAGGGAAATGAATAGGGAGTGCTGGATTTCAAAGTCACTTTTTATTGTATAACGTTACAGAAATATAGGCTCACCTCAGGCTTATAACCTTCTAAAAAGAGTGGGGTGGGGTCAGGCATTGCTAATGATACCACCTTTAAGGAAAATGGTGGCAATTATTGTTTTGTCTGCTACTTTAATATAAAGATGTGTCTGTGAGGGTATGTTTGCTTTCCTTACTGGCCACTTGTCTGGAGGTCTATTAAAAGACATGCTGGTACTCGTTTGTTTCTTCTTTATACTGAAGTGATTTCACTGACTTTTATGACAAGCTCTCTGGTTTACATGTTATACATTGTCATACTCACTGCCTCTTACTACACACACACACACACACACACACACACACACCACTTTTACTCTAGTGTTCAGGGGCCTCCTAATAGATACTACTAAAGCAGTAGCGGAGGGAAAAAAAGTCCTTTTTTGGGGGGGTATAGGAATTATTAAAAAGCCTTTATTTTTAACTTATATGGCAGCCTGCAGTAAGTAGAAGCATATTATGTCTTCACATTCTAATTTTTCTTAGCCAGGGTTTATTGCCAGAAATACTGAGAACCTGTAATACTATTTACCAATAATAGAGACATAGCATTGACAAATTATAACTTCTCAGTACTTTCTTGCCATATTATAAAATAAAAAATGTACTGTTCGTTTTTTTTTTTTAATTTCAGGATGTTTTTCTTAAATTAATTGACAAAAGTGTCCTGAGTCACTGGCTTCATGAAAAATAATACTGTCATAGATACTTATTTTTTAAACACTTTTCTCATAAACTTTTAAATTTCAGTTTTTATGTTTTTATCTTTCATTTCTGAGTGACAAATTAACAATAGCACCCAATAATTAGAAATACAAAGAGTTTTCTTGTTTACTTTAAGAATGTGGACTTTAAAAAAAATCTCTTATTGTAATTTTGCCTACTTTGCAGGAAGTTATGTCCATAACTAATTTTGTCCAAATTTAACCTTATCCGGTACAACTTTGTTGGGGAAACAGTAACAAGTTAGTAGAATCTTTAATATCAAGACATTTTGAATAAAAAGGGCATTATTGTGTGTAATGAGTGCCGAAAACTTGGCATTTGGTGAATGTTCTATTTCACATTCTGAGCCTGAAATTGCAAGGCTACATTTTCCTCTGATGACAGCTTCCCCTATTTTATCAACACCCTAATAAGGAAATTTGTTTCCCAAGTATTCAGATTTCTTCTTAAAGGAATTTCTTTGTCTGGCATCATTGGCTTGTGTATTGTGAAAGTTTGTTAAAACAGAAGAATTTTTCAAAGTTTAATTTCTCCTTTAGAAATTATAGTCATCTGTTGTTGAGCTAAGGCTTTCTGGTTGTGTGACAGCTATCAAGGCATGTACTTCCTTTTGAATCTGGAAGTTTGTAAAATTCAGTGTTTCTTAAAATGGATTATATTTTCATTTTAAAAGAAATATTTAAGAAAATGACCTTATGTGGCCAAATCTTTGCCTATTTCTACTACTTTGTAATTGGCAACTAGCCTGAAGGTTGATGGCTCAAAGTGAGTCAGCACTTGTATGGAAAGAATAGACTGGCAAACTGTTTTTGTAAGGACATAGAAAACAGAAAACCCTTTGCAGTTCTGCTCTGCTATGCACGGGCCTGCAATGAGTCAGGCTGACTTGGTAGAATCATCAACAACTGCACAATTGTATGTGTGTGTTTGGGGGGTAGGGGTGGTGAAAGAGAGACG